ATAATGAATACATAGAGCGTCGAAAAGGCCAAGTAAAACTATAAATATGCCATAATGACAACTATTTTATTTATTTATTTATATCAAATGGCAGGCGTTTTGATAGTTTCATTAGCCCTTTAGTTGACTTCAGGCTTCACAAATGGGAAAGAACATCAAAGTGAAAAAGGTCGAGATGGGGGGGGGGGACAGAAGAGTGTTTCAAAGATGTAAAAGAGACAGACACAAAGTTGGAAAAAAGGTGAGGTGAGTACGGTTGAAGTAGTCGAATTTGACATACAGTGGGGTGATGGTAGTTTGGAGTCTGAAGTCAACTGCCGGTTAATAGACTTTTTTGCCGTATGAGTATACGTTGCCCAGGGTGCACCACGTGGAGGTAAGTCTATCGCACACCCCTATAATGACAACTAAACGCAGGAAAACCAATCCAGTCGTACCACTAGTAGGAGTTGAGTTGATGTGGCACGCGCGTGTGTGGTGTAACGTTTAGCATGGCTGCCTTCCCAGCAATCGACCCGGGTTTGACTCCAGGCATGTGGGCATTCGAGCGCCAGCTCTATTGCGACCAGGGAATATCACAAACCTCCCTCTCCTTGCATATTGGTGGGCCGTCCCTATTACAACAAAGCACACAATCACCACATCCATAGCCACTCTTTCACCTTTTCACTCTATTCTCACCACTCACTCGCCCGCCTTTTGTTCCCGACGGCCTTTCCTGTAGCGCACTCCGGGCCCACCTCCGCATCCTCCTCCACGTACACCTACTACCGCTCCACCACCATCACCCTCCTCATAGCATCCAAGCCATCCGATTTACGCGTCTACCCAACACGCTCGATTGGTCCCACTGACATACCATCTCGAGGCGGAGAATGCGTGGAGGGTGTATTACTAAGGCACCGGTTTCGCTCTAGGCCATAAGTGTGCGCTAGAGTCCACAGGTGCAATAGATGCTGCACGAGCGCACACTACACAAGGAGGGTGGCAGCTACGACCTCTGGTGGAGGGATATTACGCGGAGCTGAGAGAAAATAGTGCAGTGGGAGGCGTGGACGCAGTCGAGAGAGTCGAAGTGGTATCGTGATCACGAGTGGTGTGACGCGAGGCGCCTCGTCGATCACTCAAATACCACACTCCACCCGGGGAAGGCACCCTAGTAGCCTGAGAGAGAGCGGATGCAAATGCGGCACCGCAACCACCATTTGAGCCGTAGCACTATGAGAGACGTGGCCTTGCACACTCACCGAGGTGTCCACGTGAGCAGTGACAGAACATCGCAAGCGAAAGACTAGACTTAAACTCTTAAGACTGAGGTAAAACGTACTAATTGACAAATCTATTATCAATTCCAAATAATGGATAAAAACTATGCATATGAGCAAATATCTAATCAAGGACCATAATATACAATGGCAAAATGAAGATAATCAATTGGGACGGGGGAGAATAATAAGTTTTCCGGAATTGTCACAGGTCATGTTGTATTCCACAAGAACAGACCGAATACGTTGAGCAATTATATTGGGAAGAACGACTTTTTTGTGAACTCCGCATGAAAAGAGCGCAATCATTAGAAAAATACCAAGGACAAAACAGGGATGACTCTCCAGAGAAGCCAAAAATTTCACCTTTAAAAAAGAAAGCAGAAATATATAGTGTTTCAATAACTATGAAGTTACTAAAGTAATAGGGCAATCACCTGGTAGGTTAAAGGATCAACTAGCCAAAAATATGCAGAAATAATCAAAAATAGTGTTGACAAAAACAAAATTATCCGCCAGAGTTTGGCTTTCGGATGCAAACCATCAACAACTTCCTTAAGTCGTCGTTCAAACACCTTTAAATCTTCAGTGGGCTCTGCATACTGGGATGATCCTAAAAGCTGCTATAAAAAATAAAGGTGTACAGGGATGAAATCAGTAAAAACATAAGGAAATTAATTTTTTGGCTCAGATCCATGTTAAGTTACTTCCATAAAAAATCAAAACTAAACACAAACATTTTTACAAAACTATAAAACCACGATCATAGAGTTGCCAAATTCATTTTCAACTTACAGAATTATAAAACTGTATCATTCTTCAAACTTAATACAGTGATAGGTCAATTCAGATCCAATTCCTTATTATGGACAATTTAAAATCTAACACAAGTTACTTATAAAATGAAATAAATTATATAATAATATTTAACTTTTATTTATAAGATAAAGTTGTTGAAATTAGTTACAAAAAATGTTTATTGCAAAAATTCCAAATTTTATCCATTCAAATATATTTTTTATATTTTTAACTTTTTATATGAAAATACAACGTATAGTTTTTGAAATTCATCTTAAGCATAATTTGGTTTTAATTCACTAGCTTATTAATACTCTCTAAATTTTCAAGCATGTTACATTGCTTTGAAATAGTCTTTGTTGAGGTCTGTTTGTTTACCATTTTCATTAAACGCTTAACTTAATATTTTTTTCTAGTTTTTTTGCTTTCGTTATTCATCATTATTGGGTTAAAGCTTTCATTTCTTTGTGTTTTATCTCCCTACTTGCTATTTTAGAAATGGCGGACAAGGTTCTTCTCTTAAAGGATGCTTCTACCAGAATTCGTATTAACAGCATCAAAGCCACAGAGGCTTCGAAATCTGGCCATCCAACCTCATGCTCGTCAATTGCTGAGGTTATGGCAGTGCTATTTCTCGATGAAATGAAATATCTCCCCCTTGACCCACGTAATCCTTCAAATGATCGGTTTGTTCTATCTAAGGGCCATGCTGCTCCCGCACTCTATGCCGCTTGGGTGGAAGCTGGCCTTCTTAAAGAAGCTGAACTTCTGAATTTGCGAAAAATTGATTGTGATCTTGAAGGCCATCCTACTCCAGTAAGCTTTGTTTCCTGAATTGCTACGAGTTTGCATAAATTATATACAGTTTTCTTTTTTCCTTTAGCGTTTAAATTTCGTTGATGTTGGCACTGGTTCCCTAGGTCAAGGTTTGAGCAATGCTGCCGGTATGGCTTATGTTGGCAAAAATATTGATAAAGCGAGCTACCGCGTCTATTGCATTATTGGTGATGGTGAATCGGCTGAAGGTAGCATTTGGGAGGCAATGGCTTTCGCTTCTTACTATAAATTGGACAATCTTGTTGCCATCTTTGATGTCAATCGTCTTGGTCAAAGCCAACCGACAATTCTTGAGCATGACATCGATACATACAAACGACGCGCTGAAGCATTTGGGTAAATGGCTTTTTTCGACTGTCTGTGTTTTGAGCCCCTATCTCTAATTGGCCCTTTTTATCTTCAGATTCTATGCTATCGCCGTTGATGGTCACGATGTTTCGGCACTTCTCGATGCCTTTAAAGAAGCTCGTTCAGTCAAAAACCAGCCAGTTGCGTTGATTCTCAAGACTTACAAAGGTTTCGATTTCCCTGAAATCTCTGACAAGGAGAATTGGCATGGAAAGCCTCTTGGTGCTCACGCCGCTAAGGTTCTTGAGCACTTAGAATCTAAACTTCAAAAACCTTCAACACTTGGTGTATTGAAGCCTCCGGCACCTGTTATAGATTGTAACCCATTAGAACTCATTGGCACTCTTAAGATGCCCTCTCCACCTCCTTACCAAATTGGTCAAAAGGTATAATCATCAAATCACTTCATCTAAATTGTTCATAATTACTTATACATTTGCCAATGTTCTACAGGTAGCAACTCGCGAGGCGTATGGTAGAGCTTTGGAGCGACTCGGTACCGCGAACTCGCGTGTGATCGGTCTAGATGGTGATACGAAGAATTCAACATTCTCAATTTATCTGCGTGATGCTAGACCTGATCAATTCATAGAGTGCTTTATTGCTGAACAAAACCTTGTTGGTGTGGCAATTGGTGCTGCTACTCGTCAACGCACCGTTCCTTTCGTGAGCACCTTTGCTGCCTTCCTCTCTCGTGCATATGATCAAATCCGTATGGGTGCCATCTCTCAAACTCACTGCAACTTCGCTGGTTCTCATGTTGGTGTTAGTATTGGTATGTGTAATGCATTCATTTCTTCCATAGGATGTTTGTTTGACCTTTTGAATGCCTCGCGTTTAAACTACTAGTCTATAATCCCTAATGCGCAAATCAAACACTGTTCGCCTAGGTGAGGATGGCCCCAGTCAGATGGCTTTGGAGGATTTGGCGATGTTTAGAGCTATCCGTGGCTCAACAGTTTTCTATCCTTCTGATGCCGTTTCCTGTGAGAGGGCTGTAGAATTAGCTGCCAACACTGAAGGTATTTGCTTTATTCGAACTGGTCGCCCTGCAGCCCCTGTCATCTACGGGCCTAATGAACACTTTGCCATTGGTCAAGGAAAAGTAGGGGCAGTCTTTTTGCATCTGATATTTTTTCTTACAGCATGTCTACGTGTTTGTGTTTGCACTTTAGATCTGTCTAACTGCTTGCCCGGGCGGCAAAGACCACGTAACGGTTGTTGCTGCAGGTGTGACTCTCTTTGAAGCCTTTAAGGCTGCTGAGGAATTGAAGAAAGAGTGTGTCAATCTTCGCATTATTGATCCTTTCACTGTCAAGCCTATTGATGCTGAGCTAATCGCCAAGTCTGTTAGAGACACTGAAGGACGCGTTCTCACTGTTGAAGACCACGCACCCGAAGGTGAATCATGACACCTTAACAACTCTTAATGAATCTCTATTTCGACTTAAGTTCTACTTATTTTTCCAGGTGGTTTATCTGAGGCCGTAGCTCTTGCACTCGGTGAAAAGCAGGTGCCTTTCAAACTGAAGGTGCTTGCAATTCTTGAGGTGCCCCGTTCTGGCAAGCCTGATGAACTCTTGGCCAAATACCGCATCAATGCACAAGCTATTTGCGAGGAAGTACGCAAGCTCATGAAGGCCTAAATAGCTAATACGTGCTGCTGCTGTGGTTCCATTATTCCGGACTTCCCCTTACTAAAAATTCCGTTTAACCCACTTCTCTGATAATGTGATTAGCGATTTATGCATTCGGGTTTTCTTTTGTAGTTCAAAATCAAGCATTGTTGCTTATTAGTTGCTTTCTTGCAATAAACTTATGTTTCAATATATCAGTAGAGTTATCAATCAAATGGTGGATGCTTGTTAGAGATGACTTAAAGATTAAACGGCAAACTGTGTTTGTTCCATCTATTATTACATTTGGGATTGCATGTTTTGCAGTACAAACTTATGTAACATGTCAGCTTATTTGGTCGATGGCGATGCTAAAGAAATTGTTGGGAATTGTTTGCTTTTATGTAGCATACCGTAATTTGATTTAAACAAAGATATTACTATTCTCCGCTTCTCTCATAAATCAGTAAAGCAAAGCATACCACGCCTTGTCCAAGTCATAATGCATCCGGTCATTACCCCCAGGTAAAGTCCATTAAAACATTTGAAATGTGTGTTCGTATCATGTCCAAACCAGTCAATATAAATACTCACTGAGTATCACAATTATAAAATATTTTCTTTCAATCTTGAATGAACATCGCTCTCTCAAAGCCGACCGAACGAAACGGGTACGAGCCTGAGTTGATAGGTATTCACCCCGTGAAAAGTACACCTTTAAAATTAGCCATTTGAGGTCTGTTAAAACATCCTTCCTTTTTAAAGGTACTCCACTTTTAAGTCATGTTAGAACGTGTGAGCATGGACTTGGTTCGCTTAACCTTGGGTTGGACGTCTATCCTCAATATTCGGTTCTCAGTACGATATATTTCCCGAAACTCCTTACCTCCTCCAATAAGTACTGTTAACGCTATTTTAAAACTCGAATGTTGCTATATACCATCACAGTGGTTCTATATTTGCAACTGATTCCAATTACGTCAAAGGTTAATTTAATCGAAGCACGAGAGCGAAAGTGCAGCACTTTGGTTTCCTGGTTGTTAGCTACCAAACAAATCAGTGCCGTGGCTTTTGTAGTCTATGCCTGAAGAGGTACGTTGTGCATCTTAGTGCACGAAACGAGGAAATTGTCAATGTGTTCAAAGAATGATTTGTGTAAATAATAATGAGTGCGTATTTACGTATGCGACGCTTCCATGGGTGTAGCACCAATGTGAAATCACTAGCTGGAAGTTCACATTTATCTGCCCACATTCTGTGTTGACGCGGGACAATGTTGGCACATTTCCAAAAGAAGCTTGAATTCCTACGTTGAACTAATGAAGAATGGCACCCTCTGCGTCTCTAAAATTACTACCTAATTCATTAATAATCTTTCGGATTTAGGTAATCAGACTGCACATTTGTTTAACCCGAGAGATTTACTTTCATTAATGGGATTAACCACTTAAATTGTCCTTATATGAACGTTGCTAGGGTTCAGTCCTCGATCAGTGAGGGCCATAGCTACTTCGTTTTTGCTACTTCTCCCCCAAAAAAACTATATAAAAACCATTTTATAAATGTAAGTAGACATTTAGCTGCCGGTAGGATTCTCTCTCCCGTATCCTAACCGCCGTTATGCAGTAGAAATTTTTTCAGCTCACAATTCTTAGTTCTGCTTGATTTGTACTGTGTTTGTCTACTATTATTTCCAACTCTTAATTTGATAATCACGATTCTTGCTACCACAGAAATATTATACCTATATTATATGATCAATTTGTGGATATCCACAAATCATCATACTACCATTAGGTCTGGTTTTCAAACACCCATATATTTTACTTCACTACCTCTACTGCAACTCAACTTCAGGTCAAATGACTGACGAAACTCCAAATGACCTGTCGCCGCCCTCCTCCAAGTTATTTTCCACCTGTGCTTACTATTCACATCTTGCCTAGATTGTAGGTGGAACAACTACTGCTAACTATAACTTAGAAAGATTAATTGACTTATCTCAGTTATCTCCCATCTTTCTTTCTTCTTTCTATCTTGTTGTTGGTGGTAGAGCAGAGCAATGACCTCACAATTATCCTTTCCTTCGCGAGTTTTCCTTAAGCCTTCGACTTCGAAAGGGGGATCGCATTTGCGTAAGCAGAGATTTTAATGAAAAGCACAGAGGGATGAAAGTTACAACACAAGAAAGAAATTATGTCATTAGCTAATGAAAAGCACATTTGAAGGTGAAGTTTCATGCGGGATACTTCTTCAATATTCTGAAATGGAGAAAATGAGAAAAGAAAACCAAGTTAAGACGCACAAGTCAAGATTTAAATAAGGGTCATGCTGCACAACAATTTTATATGATGTCTGCTTTAAGGTCACGGCATACTCTCACTAGTGAACGATGTGACAGAGGGTAAATCACAACCCTCTTTAAGCATTATCTCCTAGTCCGTTCCTATAGCCGCATGCGCATAAATAAGGGGCCATCATAAAGAAATAATGAGGATGGAACCCACTGCGCAAAACTGGTTCAAGTGAAATTGCAATCTTTGAAATTGTGTGCTTGGGGTTTACAACGTCGAAGGAGTAACGAAACAAGACATGCGGCATGCTAATTAGGCATAATTGACTTTCGGTTTACCTTTTAAGGAGCCTGGAAATGAGGGCAAGGCAAATAGGAAAATTTATTTCACTTAAAGTACGTTAGGTAAGGTACAAAAATATCACACTATTTCAAGTAGCATATAATTTTATTTCCTAGTATTAAACAGAAGTAAAAAGGCAACAAAACTCGGAATTTAAACATGCTTAACCGTATAAAGCTATGACAATTTCAAATTCTGCAAAACACGGCCAAGCTAATCTACGGACCAATTTGAAGCTCACTCGTCATGTTGATATGGATTTAACAGTGTTCGAGGCTAGTATTGGTGATATCACTATGGCTCTGAGTAGATATGTTTCATATCCTCATTCCTCGCAAAAAAACTACTAAAAAGGGATGGAACTTCTCGTCCTAGATCATTCCCATCCACATTCAATCTAATCTTGCCTTCCGTTTAGGGACTCCGAGTGTGATGTGGCTACAAGAACTGGGACGATCACTAGGAGTAGTTGGCCAATGCAAATTACCAAAAGTAGTAATTAGAATGTAATCATAAAAACTTAATGCTCTATGACCACATTATACCTTGAGAAGAAAGCCGACGCTTGTTTTGATAGGCTCTAAACTGAACTGGGCGAGATTCAAGAGTAACTCCTCATATCAATTGGAGAATTCTTTCCTCTTTCATTTCAACAATGAGACATCAAGGTTACAAATAGGCTTATCCAATTAGGATATGTATCAAATGTGTACAATTATGCATATAGTTCCAATATGCGATTAGGGTTTCACTAATTATTTGGCAAATTATTAAGAAAACTGAGACAAGAGGATGGAGATTTTAACTACATCCGAGAAACCGATGCAGTAGCATAATGTAAATACACAAGGAAGGTGTAAACAGGCTCTGCATGAACAGCGACTTTGGTGTTTGCCTTGTTTATAAAAATCACCCCAGGGTATTCATACGGCGTGCGCTACCGCCCTGGAAGCCAATTAATTCGTAACCCTGACAAGTAAAATGTATAAACCACAGCATTTGCACAAACAACCTGTGTCCAAATAAGCACGCCCAAAAATTCTCGTTAAAAAAATGTAGACTTCAGATAAACATTGTCCCTAATCTGGTTCAATCGACCCGAAATCCAAAATATATTGGACAGAGATGGACAGTGGGACATGTGCTTTTGGTATATGTTTATATTTCAGATGCGGGGTGTGCGATAGACTTACCCACATCCCGATCAACGTATTCTCATACGGCAAAAAGTCTATAAACCGGCAGTCGGCTTCTGACTTCAAACTACCATGGCCCCAGTGTATGTCATATTCGACTACTTACACGATACTCACCTCACCTTTTTCTACCTTTGTGTCCGTCTCTTTTACATCTTTGAATCACTCTTCTGTCCCCCCCCCCCCAAGACTTTTTTCCTCTTTGATGTTCCTTCCCCTCTGTGAAGCCTGAAGTCAACTAAAGGGGTACTAATAACTATCAAAATGCCTGTCATTTGATATAAATAAATAAATAAATGTTCCTCCCCTCTCTGAAGCCCGAAGTCAGCTAAAGGGATTATGATAAGTAGCATAAAGCCCGCCATTTGAAATAAATAAATAAATATTTCAGATGTGGGGTGTGCGATAGACTTACCCCCACGTGGTGCACCCTGGGCAACGTATACTCATACGGCAAAAAAGTCTATCAACCGGCAGCTGACTTCTGACTTCAAACTACCACAATCCCACTGTATGTCATATTACACAGCTTTCACAATACTCACCTCACCTTTTCTCTGCCT